CCTTGGAGGCGGAGATGAGAAACCACCATAGCATAAGGGAGACCTTCTGCCTCTTTGAGGCAACGAATTTCCCGCTCATTTAAGTAGACTTGGCAACGGCGAGAGTACGAAGGGTGAGCCTCATGACAATTGAGGCAAGAGGGAGTTCGACTGCAAGACGTATTAGAATGGTCATTGGCACCACAGACTGGGCATTCGGCTATAGATCTGCAATATTTTGCTGGGTGGCCAAATCGCCAGCAATTCCTACACTGTTGTGGTGTAGGGATCACCTTCCGAACTTGTAACCGATGTCCTGCTACACAAACAGAGGATGGGAGTTCACGGCTGTCAAAAGTTAAACGAACCACATTGCAAGGGTATCGTCTTCGCCCGCGGGCAGGAAGAACACAAGTGTCTACCTTGAGAATTGGGAGATCTTGGAGTTCCAGCTGTTCGAGAATGTCAGTGCCACATGTCTGGAAATTCTGTTGGACTATGGTATGGGGCAGAATAACAGTACAGTGGACCCCCGCATACCGATTTTAATCTGTGCAAGAGGGGTCATTGTTATGCGAAATAATCGGTATGCGAATGAATTTTCCCCATAAGAAATAATGGAAATCAAATTAATCCGTGCAAGACACCCAAAAGTATGAAAAAAAAAATTTTACCACATGAAATATACATTTTCCCACACACAAAGAGAAGGATACATGCACAATAGTAGAGTAGTACATGCACAGTATATATTGTGCATGTACTAGTCTACTAAATGAAGAATAAATGACACTTACCTTTATTGAAGATGCAGCAATGACTGATGAGACACTGTGTCCTGGGAGTGCCTTTTCCTCCTGAGTACTGTAGGTCCTGTTTGGCATTTTCTTCCAGAACAGGCCTTATCACACTGTGTATGCCACTACAATTCTTAAATCTCTCAAACCAACCTTTGCTGGCTTTAAATTCACCAATATGAGCACTAGTTCCAGGCATTTTTCCCTGTTCACCTGGGTGTTAGTCGACTTTGTGGGTTGCATCCTGGGAGACAAGATTAAGGACCCCAATGGAAATAAGTTAGACAGTCTTCGATGACACTGACTTTTTTGGGTTATCCTGGGTGGCAAATCCTCTGGGGTTAATTGTTTCTTGGTATTCTCAATAAGCCACACCAACAACGGTGCTACAGCAGCAGCAGCAGCTGACGGTGGTACAGCAGCAACAGACGATGCTACAGCAGCAGCAGACGATGCTACAGCAGCAGCAGCAGCTGACGGTGGTACAGCAGCAACAGACGATGCTACAGCAGCAACAGACGATGCTACAGCAGCAACAGACGATGTTACAGCAGCAGCTGACGGTGGTACAGCAGCAACAGACGATGCTACAGCAGCAACAGACGATGTTACAGCAGCAGCAGACGATGCTACAGCAGCAGCAGCAGCTGACAGTGCAGCAGCAGCAGCAGCTGTACCACCAATAGTAGCGATGGTTGATTGGGGTTTATTATACAACCTGGCCAGCTCGGAGACACGCACTCCACTTTCATACTTATCAATGATCTTTTTCTTCATCTCTATTGTAATTCTCACCCTTATTGCTGTAGGGTTGGCACTAGAAGCTTTCTTGGGGCCCATGGTCACTTATTTTCCAGAAAAAGCACCGAAAACACTGTAATAATACGAAATATTCCGATTGTATGCTTGGATGTTACCGCGGAGGCTGGCTGGTAAACAATGCCACCGGCGGAACATGTGAGCGTGGCTCAGGCCGCACATTGGACGCGTCTCGGACGAAAATCGGTGAGCGGGTTTTTAAGCGGTATGTGAGGCAAAATTTTTGCGATTAAAGCAAGCGGTATGCGGATTAATCGCTATGTGATGCCATCGGTATGCGGGGTCCACTGTACCACTACAAGAATTGAGGGAATGATGTTTCTCGATAGTGATAGGAATAGTATCGATATGTGAAAGAAGAGAAAGATCATGAGCTTGAGTAGAATTCTGGACTGTGATGATGCGCGTACCACTCTTAACCCTTTAACTGTTTTGGTCATATATGTACGTCTTACGAGCCAGTGTTTCAGACGTATATATACTCAATAATTCTAGTGGCTTCAAATCAAGCGGAAGAAAGCTGGTAGGCCCACATGTGAGAGAATGGGTCTGTGTGGTCAGTGTGCACCACATAAAAAAAATTCTGCAGCACACAGTGCATAATGAGGAAAAAAAAAACTGATCGGTTTTTTGGATTAAAACACCGACTTTGAGGTGTATTTTCGTATACTATTTATCGATGTATTTGCGTTTTCATGGTGTTAGGTGATAAAATGGAAAACATATTACAGAAATAGAGATGATTTTCATTACTTTGACAATGAAAACGACCTTGAAACTGAGCTCAAAGTAGCGGAAATGTTCGATTTTTACCAATGTTCAGGAGTAAACAAATCACACCACACGTCCAATACACGTCAACTGGGGAGTCTAATATTCTTTCACTAGTGCACCGATATTATTTATACCATTTTTACAATAATGCAGTAGTCTGCATAACAGTAAATTTTGTATTTTTTTGTATGAATAAAAAATCAAAATAGAAAGCAATAATAATATAAGAGGGGCCTTGAGATGTGACTAATAAACAGAGGATATGTTATTTTAGTGCCAAAAATGTCTACCGTGTTTATTCTGGACCCTATTTTGAAATTGGCATCTTTTTTAGTTTGCGTGAAATTGGCCAAATTGCCATTTTCTGACCACAATATTGGTAGTCCAAATTGGTAAATGGGAGGTTTCTTGTACTCAGCTGATAGATAAAATAGAGTTCTAAAGAAATAGCTATGAGTTTGGTCAACTGGAACAATGGAATTGGCTGAAAATAGGGCTCAAAGTCGGCGAAATCGTCGATACACGGGAGCGTAATTCCATGAGTTTTTGACCAAATTTCAAACTTTTGGTGTCATTACCATCGGGAAAAGATTCTCTATCATTTCATAAGAAATTTTTTTTTTTTTTTTTCAAAAATTTAGCGACAAAGAATGACAGTTTCAGAAAGGGGCCTGAAACAGTCAAAGGGTTAAGAGCATGATGGGAAATATCTCTACCAACATGGCGTAGGAGCGCTTTGCCAATACTATGGTCGGAAAGATAGGCAGTAGAAGAAGTCGGTCTTAATGTAAAGAATTTAGTCCATTGTGTGGTCTGAAACTGAGTGTGGAGAGGGAGTGCATGACGTGTCGGTCTTTTCCGAGTAGAAAGGGAAGGTAACGAAGTAACATCATTAGGAGATCGTTGTTGACGTTTAGAAGTGGGACCAGAGTCGGTCCGACGTGGGATGGGCTGGCGATTTGAAAATCGTCGCACTGTAGAGGGAGAAGCCGGAAGCATAGTCAAAGGAGAGCGGAGGTCAGGCAAATCGAAGGAGTCAGTTGAAGCCCCGGTACCTGAAGCGGGTGAGAAAACAGCACCAGCAAGAGGTACAGGGGCCTTAGGAATGTCCGAAGAGTGGCCAAAAGACGAGGCGAGGTCAGAATGGGGTGCTGTAACAATAAGGGGCCCGGGGGTAGCGGGGTCATGGATCGGGTACTCCATGGTTAGGTTACTTCTTTCTTTTTGTTTTTAAGAAAAAAAAAGAAAGAAAAGAAAATAAAAAAAAGAAGAAAAGGGGGGACCTCAGCACCACAAGTAGCGCAGATGTAGCATGGAACCCGTGCCATACCCTACTCATCATGCCAGTAAACCAGCAATCCGGGATAGCAACCTCGCATCTGCCAAGCTACCTCGGTGGACAAAAGAGAGGGCAGCCGGATATCCACCACAAAGCATACCTCCTTCGGCCACCACCCCCGGAATCTGAAAGGTGGCTTCCAGAGATACACCCAAAGCCACCCTCCGGGATACCGGAGAGGGATCGGGGCATCCCCAGGCGATCCAGATTCCACGGCAAACTACGCCACTGCCAAGAACCTCGACGGAATGGGATGGACCCTGGTACCTTTTCCCCTACCCAGGAACTAGCATGCCTGTGGGAAAAATCCCAAAGGCCAAAAAAGGAAGGGGGTATATTAGGTTAGGATGTTAGGTTAAGATAAGAGTAAAGTAATGAGGGTATCAAACGATTTAGATAAAGAAAAATTGGATATCACATTGGAGAGAGGGAGTATGGAAGAAGTGAATGTTTTCATATACAGTGGACCCCCGGTTAACGATATTTTTTCACTCCAGAAGTATGTTCAGGTGCCAGTACTGACCGAATTTGTTCCCATAAGGAATATTGTGAAATAGATTAGTCCATTTCAGATCCCCAAACATGCACTTACATAAATACGCTTACATAATTGGTCGCATTCGGAGGTGATCGTTATGCGGGGGTCCACTGTATTTGGGAGTTGACTTATCAGTATATGGGTTTATGAAGGATGAGGTTAACCATAGAATTGATGAAGGAAAAAAGGTGAGCAGTGCGTGAGGTATCTGTGGAGACAAAAAAACATTATCAATGACCAGGCCGTATCCCACAGAGGCAGGGTCACCTGAAAAAGAAACACTTTTACCTTCATTTACACTATCGCTGTCTTGCCAGAGGTGCACAGATACAGCAATTTAGATGTCCCTCTAAACAGCAGCTATCCCAAATGCCTCCTTTAGAGTGTAGGCACTGTACTTCCCACCTCCAGCACTCGAGTCCAGCTAACCAATTTCCCTGAATCCCTTTATAAAATATTACCTTGCTCATGCTCGAACAGCTTGTCAAGTCCTATACCATTTGTCTCCACTCACTCCTTTCTAGTATACTCACATATGCCTGCTGTATGTCCAAGCCCCCCTTGTACACAAAACCTCCTTCACCCCCTTCCTCCATCCTTTCCCAGGACAACCCCTAACCCTCCGCTACAGATTTATACACTCTCCGAGTCATCCTGTTTTGCTTTTTTGTCTTATTATATAATACAGTTTTGTAATACCAGTAGTAGTGCACTATTGTTTTCTCTTGTAATGAGTTATTTCATCTGTTTTAAGGTTGTGGTGGTCTTTGTGCTATTGACTCTGAAGTGTGCCAGGCATTGGGCTCCCGAGCTTTTCAGTGTCACAGTGCATCTCTGTGCTTGCATGATGAATGGCGTTGTGCTGATGGCTTGTGCATACCACACATCAAACGCTGTGATGGTCACATGAACTGTTATGACCAGAGTGATGAACAACACTGTCGTGAGTAATCTTAATTGAAATTTTTGAATCATTATGTACATACGTATTGCAAATTATACATGGAAGCATTGTTTTTATTTCATATAGCGAACCTTTATAGGTAATCGTATTAATGTGAAGAAATTTATTACAACATTTAAATATGAGGAATAATTATATTAAGCTTTGTTCTTCATAGAATTTTTCTGTTATGAAATATACTTGTGTGCAAAATATTATCAATTTGCTCAATATGCATTGTTTTGTTAAAAGAAAATTTTGAAAGCATGATTTCACAAACTGTTTAATCTCCCTCATTAGGATGTGGGCCAGATAAATTCCAGTGTGGCAACAATACTTCCTGCCTTCCTGTAACCTCAAAGTGTGATGGCAACATGGACTGTTGGGATGGTTCTGATGAAGCCAATTGCACAACTTGTAAGTGTCATATTGTAAAGAATTGGTTTTGTTTATTGTGTGTTCTTTGCACTGAGTTTCATAGCAAAGAGTCTCTGATCTACACAGCTGAATTTTTATGTTTTTAATTTAAAAGAAATCTATAATGTCTGTATGGGATACTTTATAATATTTGTTCAGTACTGTCCAGTTGTACCTCATTCATCTGCATTCGTCAGACCCAAGAGCTTTCATTTACATCAGATAGGCCATAGAATGGAAGGAGCAACAGTAGGATTGTGGAGCATGTAATGCATTGCAGCCAGATAAAAGGAGGTCTGACAATTAATTGTCAGTCAGTAGGAGCTGCCAAACTAGAGTTTCTGGGTATGTAGGGTACAAATAAATGAGGTGCAACTTCATCAGTACATATTGTGTAGATCAATGCTTTTAGTGATAAAAAAAAAACACTAAACCTCACAGTATTTCTGCTTTGTTTCACACCTCACTCTTAGTTTATTAAGTAACTCACTGTATGACTTGCACTGTAGATTTCAGAGAAAATATACAGTATATTGTAATGCAGTTTTCTAATACTGTTGATATTATATTTCTCAAATGAGCTTTTAACTCAAAATTGTAGGATCTGTATAATTAGTAAACTTGTGAAAAAAATCTGGTATAATTGTTCTTAATTATTGTTTATGAGTAGATATCCCAAGAGCAACACACTCAGCGCTGCCCAACTCAGACTCCGAGAACGAAGAGACTCGCCATTCCTTCAGCTTAAAACCTCTGATCAACCCTAGTGTTACCCCAACTTTGCCATTATAGATGGTAATACCCATCCCACCTATAACCTTTTCAAATGTCAGTAATTTAGTTGTATATTACTATGATTTGGGTTTGAACATACAAGTAAATAGGCACTCAATATGTAGCAAACTTGCATGGCTTTCTTCAGCATGTAAAATAATCTTAATGCATGTATGCTTTTGTGATGTCTGGATACTCATTTTAACTTCAGAAAAGGGAGGTAAGGTCATACAATAAGCTTTCTTATAACACTCCCTTATATTATGTGATTTTTCTTGCAAATACAATTGAGAAAGTATGTACATAAAAAATTGAATAGCACATGCAAAAGCCTTCATATTATGTGCTATTCAATTTTGGATGCACTTTTCCAGTTGCATTTACAATAAATCATATTGTATAGATGAGCTTTATAAGAGAACTTACTCTACATAATGTCTTGTAGCAGGTCTAAGTTTGTTATTTTTAGCTCAGTTTTATTTTACAATAGTATGTGTTAATAAATGTTATATTGCATGAAAAATATTCAATTAATTGTTTTCTGTTACTAACATCTTCATGCTTTGAACCAACTGATAGGAGTTATTGCATTTTTAATCTTTTAGAGGAAGAAGATAGCCAGTTAAGAAAACTTTTATAATGAACACTAATTTTTTTTTTTTACTGCAGCTGGCTTCTGCTTACCTTTGTCCTTTCTTTTTTTTCTTTGTACTTCAATCACCTCCCCTTTCCCACTCCTCAACCATCCTTTCAGCAGAGGATCTCAGTTCTCAGTGTCTGACAGTGGCTGTGTGTGTTTCAGTGTGCCCCAACCCTGACACTCAGTTTACTTGCCGCAGCAGTCAGTGTATCCCCCAGCACCAATTCTGCGACGGGTTGGCGGACTGCGGGGATGGGTCAGATGAACCCTTCGGTTGTTTTGGAGGGTGCCAACCCAACGAGCATCAATGCCGGTAGGTACCTGCTGAATATAGAGTGAACTTGTAACATTGAAAATGAACTTAGCACTTGGGTTTTAAAAATACATAGTGTACATGTGTTTTCTCTTTTGGATCACCCTGCTTTGGTGAGAGACAACCATTGAGATACCAGACCAGTTTTCCTTGCAGATACCACACTTCTCTGAAGCACATTTCTAAAAGCAGGCTATCAAAGGCAAACCACTCAAAGAGTTCCTGATGTTCGTGAGGGCTCTTGATTTGGGGAATTGGTTCTGGTCTCAGTTCCCCCATTAACCTGAATGCCTTCCACATCCTCCCCTCATAAATTACTTATATCTCCCCGTGTTTAGCCTTCCCTTGATTATAATAATATATCAAAGGCAAAACCAAGTCATTCCCATTCCTACTCACTCCATACACACTGAATTGCTTGTTACTCGATCTCAGTTCAAGCCTCATATTCCATAGTCACCCTGTCCTCAATATATAGCTGTATATTCACACATTGTGTTACTCTCTTAATGACATACCTATACTATCAAAGAAGACCTATAGAAGATACATAAGCAGCAGACAATGCTAGATAAAAGCTCTGTTTCAAATTATAGGGATTCAGTTATGGTAATATATGCTGAACACTGAGAAAATTGGGCCAGCTGATTTCCATGACTTGGCATTAGAGGAACTTCTAAGACAGCATTTCAAAGAATCCATGAGGATGAGGGTAATAACCGCTTCTAATATGAATCTCAGTTTTCATTGACAATGGATCAAATATTGAAGCCATATCACTCTCACTATGAATAGATGTTTAAAACCAGTTCCAAATGCTTTAGAAATATGATGGCAACACAACTGCATGTTCTAAGTTTAATAATAATAATTGCCAATGACTGAGATGTTCACAACAGAATCAGAGTGTCATGCTTACCAGTATATTATGTTCAACATATCAATGTAGCTCAGTAACATGGGCAAAATTTTTGCTGAAAACTCGTAACATTATTAAAGACAGGTATCTGCACATTGTAGTTGCAATTTTGATAATTCCACATTTATCAAATTGCTTACCCACATTGTCAACAGCTGTTCCATACACAAGAAAATCTTTGCGAAACAAATCCAGCACTATGCGTGAGCCCAATCATGACATTAAGCCAAAGAATCTGGATGAATTATCCATTTGTAAAGACGCACTTCACAGTATTCCCATGACTATTACATTTTCTGCGATGCCAATCAAGGAGACTTGATAAATGCCTTGTGTAGCAAAACAAGTCGGTGACTGTTGTAAAAAATTTTTTTTTTTTTCAACAATTCGGCTGTCTCCCACCGAGGCAGGGTGACCCAAAAAAGAAAGAAAATCCCCAAAAAGAAAATGCTTTCATCATCATTCAACACTTTCACCACACACATAATCACTGTTTTTGCAGAGGTGCTCAGAATACAACAGTTTAGAAGCATATACGTATAAAGATACACAACATATCCCTCCAAACTGCCAATATCCCAAACTCCTCCTTTAAAGTGCAGGCACTGTACTTCCCATTTCCAGGACTCAAGTCTGACTATATGAAAATAACTGGTTTCCCTGAATCCCTTCACTAAATATTACCCTGCTCACACTCCAACAGATCGTCAGGTCCCAAGTACCATTAGTCTCCATTCACTCCTATCTAACACGCTCACGCATGCTTGCTGGAAGTCCAAGCCCCTTGCCCACAAAACCTCCTTTACCCCCTCTCTCCAACCCTTTCGAGGATGACCCCTACCTCGCCTTCCTCCCCCTATAGATTTATATGCTTTCCATGTCATTCTACTTTGATCCATTCTCTCTAAATGACCAAACCACCTCAACAACCCCTCTGACTAATAAACTCCACACCTTTTCCTAATTTCCACACTCCGAATTTTCTGCATAATATTTACACCACACATTGCCCTTAGACAGGACATCTCCACTGCCTCCAACCGTCTCCTCGCTGCTGCATTTACCACCCAAGCTTCACACCCATATAAGAGTGTTGGTACTACTATACTTTCATACATTCCCTTTGACTCCACATATACCTCAATGCACCACTCACCTTTTTTCCCTCATCAATTCTATGATTAACCTCATCCTTCATAAATCCATCCGCTGACACGTCAACTCCCAAGTATCTGAAAACATTCACTTCTTCCATACTCCTCCTCCCCAATTTGATATCCAATTTTTCTTTATCTAAATCATTTGATACCCTCATCACCTTACTCTTTTCTATGTTCACTTTCAACTTTCTACCTTTACACACACTCCCAAACTCATCCACTAACCTTTGCAATTTTTCTTTAGAATCTCCCATAAGCACAGTATCATCAGCAAAAAGTAACTGTGTTAATTCCCATTTTGAATTTGATTCCCCATAATTTAATCCCACCCCTCTCCTGAACACCCTAGCATTTACTTCTTTTACAACCCCATCTATAAATATATTAAACAACCATGGTGACATTACACATCCCTGTCTAAGACCTACTTTTATCGGGAAGTAGTCTCCCTCTCTTCTACACACCCTAACCTGAGCCTCTATCCTCATAAAAACTCTTTACAGCATTTAGTAACTTACCACCTATTCCATATACTTGCAACATCTGCCACATTGCTCCCCTATCCACTCTATCATATGGCTTTTCTAAATCCATAAATGCAATAAAAACTTCCCTACCTTTATCTAAATACTGTTCACATACATGCTTCAATGTAAACACTTGATCTACACATCCCCTACCCACTCTGAAACCTCCTTGCTCATCTGCAATCCTACATTCTGTCTTACCTCTAATTCTTTCAATTATAACCCTACCGTACGCTTTTCCTGGTATACTCAATAAACTTATTCCTCTATAATTTTTACAATCTCTTTTGTCCCCTTTCCCTTTATATAAAGGGACTATACATGCTCTCCACCAATCCCTAGGTACCTTCCCCTCTTTCATACATTTATTAAACAAAAGTACCAACCACTCCAACACTATATCCCCCCCTGCTTTTAACATTTCTGTCATGATCCCATCAGTTCCAGCTGCTTTACCCCCTTTCATTCTACGTAATGCCTCGCGTACCTCCCCCACACTTACATTCTGCTCTTCTTCACTCCTAAAAGATGGTATACCTCCCTGACCAGTGAATGGAATTACCGCCTCCCTTTCTTCCTCAACATTTAAAAGTTCCTCAAAATATTCTCGCCATCTACCTAATACCTCCCTCTCCCCATCTACTAACTCCCCTACTCTGTTTTTAACTGACAAATCCATACTTTCCCTAGGCTTTCTTAACTTGTTTAACTCCAAAATTTTTTCTTATTTTCATTAAAATTTCTTGACAGTGCCTCTCCCACTCTATCATCTGCTCTCCTTTTGCACTCTCTCACCACTCTCTTCACCTTTCTTTTACTCTCCATATACTCTGCTTTTCTTATAATACTTCTGCTTTGTAAAAACCTCTCATAAGCTAACTTTTTCTCTTTTATCACACCCTTTACTTCATCATTCCACCAATCACTCCTCTTTCCACCTGCCCCCACCCTCCTATAACCACAAACTTCTGCCCCACATTCTAATACTGCATTTTTAAAACTATTCCAACCCTCTTCAACCCCCCCCCCCCCACTACTCATATTTGCACTAGCCCACCTTTCTGCCAACAGTCGCTTATATCTCCCCCGAACTTCCTCCTCCCTTAGTTTATACACTTTCACCTCCCTCTTACTTCTTGTTGCCACCCTAGTTAAAAAAAAAGGAAAAAAGGTTTTATTGTACACCTTACATGCAACCCATCCTCAATTTACATTTAATTTTCTTACATTATTCCCAGCGTCAGTTTCTAAACATTCTCTGTGATTATGTTAAGTTGCCTAAGCCTATAAAATCTAGGGGCCACTTCAGAATTCCTATACTGGGGGAGCTTAGGGGTGGCTTTCTGAGTGGAAGTAGGGGGTGGGAAGTTCTGAAGCACTGTTATCATCATTACTACAATTTTTTTTTTTTTTGAGGGGTGAGCCACTGTGTAAATAGTGTGTGGGGAATCTCAGGCAGGATTCATTTCTGCACATATATCAAGCTTGGTATGGTTATGGATTCTAATATTGACATATTTCAGAGGGATCACAAAACAAGAATTACAGTGGCTGCTCATTTAACCATAGTGAATATGACCAGCAAAAGGGAACAATAGGGATCTTCCTACTAGCCTGCTATCTACCTGTTGGTGATAATAGGTAGATAGCCTGGTCATGGAATTTTGAGTTACTACATAAATTTGCATGATCCTTAAAAACTGAAAAAAAAAAAAAAAAATCTGTTTAGAGCTGGTTCTTATCATTCCCCCGGCTTTGATTATAATAATAATTATCATTCCTCCCTCCCCTCTAAAAAATAGATAACTTCTACATTTCTTGACTCAAATGTAAAAACCAGCACATATATATGAAAGATTTCAGTGCTCAAAGTGAAGGCACTCAGTGAAAAACAGAAAAATGCTCAGCAAAATTGTGCTGTAATTGTTTACTTATCTCATCTGAGCAAGATGTGATACAATAATTCCTAAGTGGCAAAATTCATTATTTGGGTTTAAGGAATGAAATAAAAAAACTAAATTTCTATGGATTGAATATAAAAAAATTGACTAGTAAATTTAATATATGTAACGTAAAAGGACACAAGTGCAACTAATGTGACATTTCATTGTGGCAACGTTTTGCTCTCGAGGAGCTTTGTCAAGCCATTACAAACAATACATGCACACAGAAGGTATATATAGGCTTAGAGTGAGGTGTAATACTAGTGGTAATAGAACAATTAACTTTCATATGAGTAAAATGATAAAAAGCTATTACTTGGGTAGCATAAAAATAGGTTAGACAAATATTTCTGTTGGAGGTTGGATTAGAGAAGGCCTGTTTCAGTGTTCATCCTCTGTAATGTGCTTGTGTAGTATTAGCAGGAGAGACTGTGATGGCAGGGTTTACTGTTTTCAGGAGGATTCTTGCTAAGACTTCAGAGATGTTGAAGCTGCCTTTGTTTTGTTTAATTGTATTAGAAACAGTGGTTAGTGCTAACTCAAGGCACTTGTGTCTGTGGAAATTAGTTTCTTTGATCACTAATCGGGTGTCCTTGAAATTCCATCGGTTTTATATTTTTATTTTTTATCACACTGGCCGATTCCCACCAAGGCAGGGTGGCCCGAAAAAGAAAAACTTTCACCATCATTCACTCCATCACTGTCTTGCCAGAAGGGTGCTTTACACTACAGTTTTTAAACTGCAACAGTAACACCCCTCCTTCAGAGTGCAAGCACTGTACTTCCCATCTCCAGGACTCAAGTCCGGCCTGCCGGTTTCCCTGAACCCCTTCATAAATGTTACTTTGCTCACACTCCAACAGCACGTCAAGTATTAAAAACCATTTGTCTCCATTCACTCCTATCAAACACGCTCACGCATGCCTGCTGGAAGTCCAAGCCCCTCGCACACAAAACCTCCTTTACCCCCTCCCTCCAACCTTTCCTAGGCCGACCCCTACCCCGCCTTCCTTCCACTACAGACTGATACACTCTTGAAGTCACTCTGTTTCGCTCCATTCTCTCTACATGTCCGAACCACCTCAACAACTCTTCCTCAGCCCTCTGGGCAACAGTTTTGGTAATCCCGCACCTCCTCCTAACTTCCAAACTACGAATTCTCTGCATTATATTCACACCATACATTGCCCTCAGACATGACATCTCCACTGCCTCCAGCCTTCTCCTCGCTGCAACATTCATCACCCATGCTTCACACCCATATAAGAGCATTGGTAAAACTATACTCTCATACATTCCCCTCTTTGCCTCCAAGGACAAAGTTCTTTGTCTCCACAGACTCCTAAGTGCACCACTCACCCTTTTCCCCTCATCAATTATCTCATGGAATTCACTCTTAAGCCTATATATACCCTCTGTGTTCACGTATTGTTTGTAACGGCTTGACAAAGCTCCTGGAGAGCAAAACATTGCCACAATAAAATGTCACATTACTTGCACTTGTGTCCTTTTACTTTACCTAGTAAATTTAAAATGGTTGCAGCATTGGAAACAAAAATAATACATTATTCAGGTACATAAGGTACTACTTATATGTACTGTACAGTGTTTTATTCTACTGAGTCCGTGTTTACTTTAAAATATGCTGTAATAAGTGCTGTATTTAAGTGCTTCTAGCACTTCAATAAAGGATCTAACAGGACAAAATCAAAGCACCACGAACCAGTCAACACAGGGGTTTACACTATACCCTGTGGAGGCTGTGACAAGATTTATGTAGGTGAAACAGCAAGAAACCTCGACACCTGCCTCAATGAACACATTTACGCATGTAGGAACGATAACTTGAACAACGCCTGTGTACAACACCGAAATTCCAATCATCTCACGAAATTCAGGGACGCCCAATTAGTGATCAAAGAAACTAATTTCTGCAGACGCAAGTGCCTCGAATCAGCACTGATCACTGTTTCGAATACAATTAAACAAAATAACGGCAGCTTCACCATCTCTGAAGTCTTAGCAAGAATCCTCCTGAAAACAGTAAACCCTGAAATCACATAGTCTCTCCTGTTATACTACACAAAGCACATTACAGAGAGTGAACACTGAAACAGGCCTTCTCTATCCAGTCTATATTTGTCCAACCTATTTTTATGTTACCCAAGTAATAGCTTTTATATCCTTTTATTCATGTACAAATTAATTGCTCTACCATATTGTATTACTACTACTACTACAACTTTTGTCACTACTACTACTACTACTACTACTACCACTAGTATTGCACCTCACTCTGAGCCTTTATATACCCTCTGTGTCCATATACTGTTTGTATCGGCTTGACAAAGTTCCTGGAGAGCGAAACGTTGCCACAATAAAATGTCACATTAGTTGCACTTGTGTCCTTTTACTTTACATAATGATTACACCTCTAAATTGAAATTTGCTGTATGAATAAGGATAAATTTTATGACAAAGTTATTACTATCTAATTTCTAGTTAATGCTTTCATTACAGGAATAGGAGATGCATCCCAGCTTCCAGCATCTGTGATGGTAGGGACACGTGTGGCGACGGCAGTGATGAACAGAACTGCAATAGGACTCTCATCACTGTCACACCGGGAACGAGAGCTCCTATCTTGAACCTATCCAGTACTAGTAGTTGGTTGGAAACCACTCTTCTAAATGTTTCAAATGCACAAAATCCTCAGACATCACCGAGAAATTATATTTCACTCTCTCACCTTGGAGACACTCATGCCTCAAATATGGAAAGTACACCTTCAGTAAATGCTTTTCCTTCTTCTACCAGTACTGAAGGCCATGTTGGTGGATCTTCTGCTTTATACGTAGTGACACCAGTGGAAGACTTTAATTCGTCTACATCCATCAGAATGCCTCAAACTTCTACAAGCTCCATTGGTAATACTGAAAATAGTGTAGAAAATGGGAATTCTGAAGATGTATATAATACAGATGATGCTCTAACAGAGTCTGATAGTCATGGGAAAGTTTCTCCGGTCATAGATAGAGGTTGGAGACGAACTTCCCAAGTTATGCCTAGTATAGAAGAGTTTGGAGACTTTTTTATTTCAAGGTTACAGAAAGATCATGAGCCAATCTCCTCCAAACAAAATTCCATGATTGGCAGAACTAGTTACTCAGTGCTCCATGAAGCAAGTGATAGGTATAGTGTTTTAAACAGTGCAGTCAGCAATATGGATAAGCAGGGTAATAAAAGAACCTCACCTGGATTCAAAATAAACACTCCCAGAGAAGAAAAACACTAATGGCTTATCGTGACTCGGAATAATGCTCGATAAGAAGTGCTGCATGTGTGTTTGTGTATGTAATCATAATGTGGTTGCAGGGGTTGGGTCCTGGCCCCTGTGTGTGTATGTATGTATGTGTGTTTGTGAGAATGAACAACCATTTTGTAATGGACAATTTTTTAAAAGTGAAAATGTATGAATATGGAAAGTCAGAGTCAACTGCTATTTTAGTATATCAGTGTTATGAAATGAAAAATATATTACATCACAATGTTGATATATTGATGTTGTGAGAGGAGAGTCCTTTTTGTATATCTAGTTGAGAAATACCAAAGATTGTATGTATATTTTGTCCTTGGTAGGACCTCATGATGTTATCTAGTCTGTATGAAAATGTACTTATTATGTATTAGTTTATTAGCCTCGGGTACTGTCACTGCAGTGCAGGCGAGATTTGAAAGAACTTATCAGCCTCAACTATCATGCAGTGGCCATGCCATGGAGACTATGGTTGGAATTTCTCAGCTTATTTTCGACATTTGTTAGGGAATGTATTCACTGAATTGCAGAAAGTGCTACTGAATATACAGAGTTCACCCAAAGTGGACTGTACTCTTCCCTACCAGTCTGTACTCTGTGAATATGCTTGTTGTATTTTGCTCCCCTTTACTAACCCACAAAGTGCAGGATTATAGACCTTTGCTCTTTGGTTATCCTATTCCTGGTTATTTAGCTTAATTCATTAAAATCTGGTTACTAAAATGTGGACATAAAAAAAAATACTTTGTCAGACAGGGATCTTGGGCTCTATTCCATATAAAATATTTTGATTTTTTTAAGCAAAAAACTACAAAGAAAAATCCATTCATATTATATTGCTAGCTCATGATCTAAGTAGTAAGTGCATAATAAATTTTTATGTGCTACATTGCATAACTTTGGTTAATACCATAGTTCAAAGATAAATATTTAAGCTCAAGAGAACTAGCTCTCAAGATTGATGTCCTGGTATCCGGATTAATAATGACTTAACCCTAGAGCCATCTGCCCAGGTTTAATGGGAGGAATGGTTCAGGACATTGTGCCTTCCTAGTACAGATGATGTACTGTAAAACTTCAGTTCCATAATTTGCAAAAGGTTATATGAGAAGTGAGAGTTTTCCAAGATTTTGCTTGGGTGTGTACCTAAAATTGCAAATTGGGGTGTAAACTATCCTATGAGTTTTAAAAGTTTTTTTTTTTTTTTATAGCTGCAATCTTCAGCAATTGGCTGCCTGGACTTGGGGGTTAATTAAAGTACTTTTATGAAACTTAGAAGTCCAGTGTAGTTCTGTTGATTTTGTTGTACTTGTGCATGAGGCAGGAAACTTATTACATTCCACCTAACTTTGACAATTAAATCTGACTTACAGTACTGCTGTATCTTTAAGGTGTCTTAAGAATATTTTTTCATTGCCAATGAACAATCCAAAAATTAATGTTGCCATTATGAAGCCAACTTCCATAAATTTGCCAGATTTTGTAGGTTTTGTTGCAGGGGCTCTGTCTGTTGCACAGCTCAGTCTTACTACTAGTCTCATGGTTTAAGGTTGTACAGTGAAACTATTTTTTTCCTATGAATTTTGACCTGTCTCCATACTTAGTAGAACCTCAGTGATTTGCCATTTATCCAGGGGAAAACATTTACAGTATATACGTAAACTATTAAAGTAAGAACACTTAAATGCCCTCTTATTTTTCTCTCTAGGCTGGAATATTGCTGTACACTAACCATCCCTTTTAAGGCAGACAAAATTGTATATCTGGAGAATGTACAGAGAACCTTCACTGCCCGTATAAATTTGATTAAGCACCTAAATTACTTGGAATGCTTGAAATTCCTTGAACTTTATTTCTTGGAATGTAGGCAAGAAAGATGCATCGTAATTTAAATCTGGAAATTTTTGAAAGGGTTAATCCTGAATCTGCACACAAGAGTCACTCCTACAGAAATAAAAAGTCTTGGCAAGTAGTGCAAAATACAGTGGACCCTCGGTTATCTGCCATAATCCATTCCAGAAGGCCGGCCTAAAACTGAAATGGCCAATAACCGAAATAATTATTCCCATAAGAATTAATGTAAATATGTACAATTAATCCATTCCAGTTGCCCAAAAATATTCACAAAAAATACATTTTTTAGAGAGTAATTATAGTTTTACATACACAAAACAATGAGAACTAAATAAAATACATGAACAATTAAATCAGTATTACATACCTTTATTGAAGACTGTTGTAGGCTTATGGAAGATAAGGAGGAGGAGAGAGGGAGGAGAGTTTATTGTTTGGAAGGGAAATCCCCCTCCATGACTTCAGGTATCAAAGCACTATCTGGGGTTACTTCCCTTCTTTGTTTTTTAATGCCACTAAGACCAGCTTGAAAGTCACTGGACCCTTGTCGCACAAAATATCTGTCCAGAGAGTTCTGTTTCTGGCGTCTTTTAAGATTTTCCTGAAGTGGGACAAGGTTCTGTCACTGAACCTGTTGCAGTTGTAGCTTGTTTCAGCTTGGTCAGGGTGATTATTCTCATCAAAAGCTTGCACCCTAGTCTACATTGCACATATCTCCTTAATCTCTGAAGAAGGCACCTCCTTCACTCTCTCTTCCTCCTCCTCTGAAGCAAGTTCCTAAGCTGTGGTCTGTTGCTGTTCCAGATGAAGCTCTTGCAGCTCTTCATTGGTTAGCTCTTCCCTGTGGTCCTCCACCAACTCTTCCACATCCTCACCACTAACCTCCATATCCATGGACTTGCCCAGAGATACAATGGATTCCACAACAGGTGTAGGGTCAACCCCAAACCCTTCAGAATCCCTCTCGGACACATTTTGGCCCAATTTTCTCCAAGCAGAGTTCAAAGTCCTGGAAGTCACTCCCTCTCAACCCTTACCTGTAAGGCTTATGCAATGGATGATATTGAAGTGATTCCTCCAGAACTCTCTTAGGGCCAAATCTGTGTCCAAGGTCACTTCAAAGCACCTTTGAAACACTGCTTTGGTGTACAGTTTTTTGAAGTTAGAAATGACCTGCTGGTCCATGGGCTGCATGAGAGGAGTGGTGCTAAGAGGCAAGAACTTCACTGTGATGAAATGGAATTCCACAGACAATTGGTCTACCAAGTTTGGAGGATGAGCAGGAGCATTGTCCAGTACCAGGAGGCACTTGAGTGGCAATTTATGTTCCAGGAGGTATTTTTTCACACTTGGGCCAAACACATCATTCACCCACTCTTTGGAAATTTGCATTGTGACCCATGCATTATTGTTAGCCCTCCACATCACATAATTTATTTTTGAAAACATTGTGTTTCTTGAACACTGGGATTTTCAGTGTGATACACCAGTAAAGGCTTCACTTTGAAATCCCTAGTAGTGTTAGCACAGAACAAAAGGGTAAGCTTGCCTTTCATAGGCTTGTGTCCAGGCAGGGCCTTTTCCTCCTGCATAATGTAGGTCCTCTTTGGCATTTTCTTCCAAAACAGACCTGTTTCATCACAACTGAACACTCGTTGGGGGAGGAATTCTTTAGCCTCTACGTACCCCTTGAAACCTTGCACAAATTTTTCAGCCACACATTTATCAGAACTTGCAGCTCTCCATGCCTTACCACACTGTGTATGCCACTACGCTTCTTAAATCTCTCAAACCAGCCTTTGCTAGCCCTAAATTCACTAACAGCAGCACTTGTTCCTGGCATTTTATTTACAAGATCTGCATACAACTGCTTTGCCTTCTCACAAATCACTGACACCACAACACTATCTCCACTAATTGCTTTTCCCTGATCCACAACAACAATAACTTTTCCATATCTTCCATTATTGTTGACCTTTGTTTCATTATCACATTTACTCCTTTTGCAAAACCAGCTTCCTTGATTTGTTCTTTCTTTGCCAGGATGGAAGTGATGGTAGATTTGTTTTTCCCGTACATCCTGGCAAGTTCCAACACTCACATACCACATTTTTCAGTCACTTCTCTCTTAAATTCCATCATGTTTCTCACTTTCTTTACCACAGGAACTTTACTAGGAACTTTCTTTGGGCCATGCTTACTTATTTCGCAGTTGCACTTAATAACAAAGAAAAACACTGATTTATAGCGAAACGTTTGGATGAGTGAGCAGAAGCTTCTTCGCTCGGTCAGTGACACAGCTACAATGACTCAGGAACGTGCGAGCGTCGCTGGCCGATAAGCGAAATAATGGCCGATAACCAGAAGCCGAAAAACTGGCTGATAAATGAGTTGGCTGGTAAGCGGAATGGCCGATAACCAAGGGTTCACTGTACCCCCTTTGAAAACTTGTGCCATGAGTACACAAAGAGAACACAGTCAGCATAAAGAGACCAAGACTATTCAGCACTCTCCCTTCATGCATAAATCTAATACTTGACAGACTCCTGGTTGTCTTCTAGAAGGAATTTGATTAGTTATTCAAGTCTTCCCAGGTAACATGGGTTTAGAGCAGATCGCTCTTTTCTTTTGCAACTACTGGACCACTATGACATGGTCATGGATGCACTGGAAGACAAACAGAATGCAGATGTAGTATACACAGACTTTGTGAAAACCTTCAGGAAGTGCAATCATGGTGTAATAGCACACAAAATGCATGCTTAAGGAATAATTGGAGGAGTGAGCAGATGAATCTTCAACCCCACTTTCAAGGATCACAACAGTATCACTATCACATGTGTGAGGAAAATGATAGGATGGATAATGAGAACTTTCAAAACAAGGAATGTCATGCCAATGTCATTTTGTTCTCTCAAGGCAGATAAAGTTGCAAATCTAAAAGTACAGAGAACCTTCAGTGCATGTGTTAGTTTAGTCAATTATTATTATAATCAAAACTAAGTGCTAAACCACTAGGGTAATACAGCACTGTTTAATCCAATAAAATACCTAAATTACTGGGAACATTTGAGGTCCCATGAACTGTACTCCATAGAATGCAGGTGAGAAAGATACATCACGATCTACACCTGAGGGACTGGTCCTAAATCTGCACTCACAAATCACTCCCTATGAAAGCAGAAAACTGGGCAGACAGTGCAGCATACCCCCAGTGAAAAGCAAAGGTGCCCCTGAGTACACAAAGAGAAAACACAATAGGTACCCAGGGCCCAAGACATAAGGGGAACTACCAATAGACCCCTGGCTGTCATTAAAAGGGAACTCGACAGATATCTAGTCAGTGCCCGATCAGCTGGGTTATGGTTTGTACATTGGATGTTTGTATGTTGTGGCCAGCAGTAACAGCCTGGTTGATCAGGTCCTGATCTACTGGAAGGCCTGATTGAGGACCAGACAGCAGGGACATTGACCCCTGGAACAACCTCCAGATACATACCTGAGTACAAATGGGCCTCTGAAAAGTTTACATATCACCAACAGGTAACTGAGTCAAGTGGAAGTGAAAATACAATAGATCTGATCATTGCACACATTGAGGAACTAATCAGGTTTAGTTGTGATTATTATAATAATAATAATCAAATACAATATGCTCTGATCACAACCCCATTAAGTATAAACAAATATAAATTCAAGTGTGGAGAACTTCAGAGATAGTCAGTGAGAAGTGATATTCAGTAAATTTGACTTTTAACAATTAGAGAATTGACTGTGACAGAATAAACAAAGACCCATCAGACATTTCCTGGGACTGTCGTGAGCCCCCTATTGTACTAGTGCATGAGAAAATTATATACAGAAGTATGCAAATTCTGTATAAAATATGTTCTTTTGAAGAAAGAGCTTAGATACTGTTGAAATACCAAAAAACTTAAAAAAAAACAAAAAATGTAGGCAATGACTCCTATTTCAACATCTGGGTATCTTATTGTAAAACCGTTTTGCCATCCAGTGGCTTACAGTAAAATACTAGACAATGTGAAGACTACATCTGATACAAAAGATACGTAATAGTTTACAGTCTTCACATTATGTCATGATCTGTACTAATTAAGCCACTGGATGAGGTGAAACATCTACATATAAAGATTCACCAGATTGCACGGTCTATTCCTCAGATTGTCAGTATTGTATACCAATTCTATGTAAACATACTCCTTTGCACAAGGCAGTGAGAGACATGTAAAAGATTAGAACTAGTGTATACACTAACATCAGATATCATAAAAGTCTTACAAAATGTGATGAGATGTCAAATTACAAATCATGGAAAAGCATGATCTGCACAACCTAAATCATCATAGATAGAGAGCTAGAAGATTATGCTCATTGTAACCACTGAACCTTCATACCAAAAATATGGAGGCTTTGAAAGAAAACCTCAATGCAGATGTTGTCTACATAAATCTCATGAAGGTATGTATTTGACAGATGTGTGATCATGGAGTGATAGTACATAAAATGAAGTCAATAGAACATGTTGTAATACTAAACAAAGCAAAATCAAGTCTTGGCAAAATAAAAAGTTCAGTACCCCAAGGGACAGTTCTAGCAATGATACTATTTCTTAATCTCAGAAGACATGGATAAAAACACTCGCTATAGCTTTATATCGTTATTTGTGGATGATACAAAAATAATCATGAAAGTCATCTTAGTAGAAGACCTAGAATAAATTACAAGACTTCCAGTGATTGGTAGAAATAACATGGTGTTCAATAGTAATGTATTCAAAATCCTTAGATGTGGTAATAATTTTGAATTCAAAGAATGTGCTGTGTACAAAACAGGAATGAAAGGAACATTTGAAAGATCCAGGTATAATAAATATCAACTGACCAAGCATTAGAGAGCACAATAAGGCAAATGTTGCATAAGTCAGAAAAATGAAGAGATGGGTAATGAGAACTTTCAAAGTAGGAAATAATGTCAGTGATGACACTATTCAAAGTACTGTGTCCTCTCTTGTCCCATTCAAGGCAGAAGAGGTATTAGAACTGGAATAGAGATTGTTTACTTCCCACATAACATAGAGTCAGTAATGCATTCAAATACTGGGAATTCCTCAAAGTATTAACTATGTACTCTGGAACAGAGGAGAGAGAAATACATAACAAAGATATACATGAAAAATGCTTGAGGGCCAAGTCCCTAACAGGAGGAAGTGTAAAATCAATCTAGTGAAAGCAGGGATGCGATGGGCATAAGAGAAAACTGTATCAACATTCATGGACCTCAACTATTTAACCTGCTGCCAGCAGATATCAAAGGTACTGTTGAAACAAGTGTAGAAGTCAAGAGAAAACTGAATCACTACCTCTGCCAAGGGCTAGATCAACCAGACTGTGATAGGATGTGGGGAGGTGGGGGGGGGGGGCAGCAGGCTTTAGACAAAACTTGTTCAACCACATACCTAGTTGGACAGGCAATCAGCAGGTAAGCCAGGCCCCAGGCCAGGCTGAGAGAGTAGAAAAACTCTTGATTTTGGTCATAGGTATATTACACAGATGCACTCTGAAAAAAAAAATTTACATAAGCTAGAGGTACAACAGAAAGTTCATTCAAATGACCCTTACAGGTTTAATGCTTAATTTCATTATAATATGAATATAGAGAGCCCTAAATCTTCTCAGCTCTTTTCTGTACCCTCCTCAAATACTGTACAGATGCCTATCTTCAAGAGGCAACTTAACAAGTCCCTTGAAGCAGACCCTGATCAGATTGTGCCCATGTTAGTCTGCAAGGTGCTGGTGCCAACAGTCTAATGTATTGGCATTTGCAGAAGGCCTAGTCAGTGATGGAGCTTCAAGATTAAGCCCAAGGACCATTAATAGTTTACATGAATAGTCTCTTCAGATTACCGAGGCTCTACTGAATATAATGAACCTTGATTTATCAACAAATTAAGTGAAATATAGTAAAGTGTGTTGAAATATATTTGGGCCAGTGAGGTTTCACTTTATATGCACAACCGAAGTACACTGCATTGTAATCTTGATCTTTAAAGAAAGGTTATATTCCATTTTCATACAATATCAATATGTAATTACATGCACTTTTAATCCATCTAAATTTCACAAATGCTCTTATTTTTAACCATCAGAAAGTCTTTGGGCAATTAATACTGTGTTATAGATATTAAAGATATTGCTGCAATATACAACTAGCACATTTAAAGAAAACTGAAAATGCCTTTATGTGGTTCTACTTGCTGAATGGAAAGCATTCACTAGTCCATACAATATTTTTGCATAGCTAGCTAAGAAACTCCTTTTGTATATGTATTCCACAAATACAGTATATATAAATAAAATATATATATGTATAGAAAAATATCTTATAGTAGTGGATTCCATAATTTTGTTTATCAAACAATATTCACGCCTGCTTTACCAGCCATCATATTTTGGCCTAACCTCAAAAAAAGGGACTAGAAACTTTGTGAAGCTTAAACAGTGATAATGTATAATTTGCCTGTTAATCATTACACGAGTCATTGGTTCTTTTGCTTGACCTCCTTAGTCCACTTGTAAATATAGCTGCTAGTATAACAAACATATTGTATTTTTAAGCTTATGTGATATATTTATGTTGTACTACATTTTGAAGTATAAAATTTTTGTAATAAACACTATCCGATAATTTGCATTTTTATAGCCACATTATAGGAAAACATGTAAAGTATACAATTTTAGGGCCATATACTGTATAGTAAAAGGTGGTGCTGTACACTGTACTTATAGTAGTTATTGTATGTACTAAATATTACTCTTTGGAAAGAGCTACATATGCAGTCTGCCACATATGGTTAAATGGATAACTATGGTAATTCAAGCTCATGTGAATCATAATACGTACTTATCACCCAGCATTAACATAACTTTTATATATCTGTTTTTTCCAGATGAGACCCGATGACTTACTTTTACCAATACAGGTCGGCCATCACTAATCCGGCATCATTGAGACCTGTAGTGCGCCAGATTAGTGAGTTTGCCGGATGACAGAGTGGTTAGATTAGAATACACTTAATGAACCTATCAATAGAAGCTCTGCTACATTTTCCTCATTTTCACCACTGCTTTTTCCTCCACTGGCTTGCTGCTGTGGATTTACAACCATCTGCACAATTTATGAGTCAGTATAATGATGAAATTTGAAATTATGCCAGCCGAAATTAGTGCCGGATTACTGATGGAACTGGATAACTGATTGCCGACCTGTATAACCCTTAATCCGTGCACAATGTGCTAGCACAAACAACTTTCATTCTTTCAAGTACACTGTCCTCAGCCACTTTAGGTCTTGGCCTAACTGCTTGGATTACCTACCACAGCCTCACACCTGGGAAAAAAAATCTAGGACCAGGCTGGTCCATGCAGCACATCATGGCTAGAACTCCTTCACTAGGACCTGTAAACCACCACCAGAATCAATCATGGCACCCCAGCTTCCCTGCCTGCATACTGGGTGTGGAATTGGCAAGAAGATGCCTTATTCCAAATTTATTACAATTTCTTGATGCTAAGAGTGGAAGTCAACCCAAAAAAATCTTATGTAGATTTAACCTAGGATAACTAGATAAACTCAAACAATGTGACTTATTCCCACATTTGAGGAGCATTACTTCTTTATGCATTTCAGAGTTCTGTCTGAGCCAGTGTGTCAGCATGCTTCTGGCAAGACTGATTGAATAAATGATACAAGGGTTCTTTCTTTTTTGGGTCACCCTGCCTCGGTGGGAAACGGCTGTGTTAAAAACAAAAAATAGAAAAAAGGTTTTATTTTTTTGGGGGGTCACACTTACTTTGGTGGGAGATAACCGATGTGTTAAAAAAATTTCCCTATACATAGTGTTTGATAAAAATAATCACTAGAAATAAGAAACAATTATTTGCACCACTTCATAATGAAAATTGCAGTTGGAGGCTAAGGTGTGCTATGCATTTTTGCATGTTTTAAGTACTACAGCACCTTGAAACACATTATTAGCCTATGAAAGTTATGTTCAGTGTTAGACATTGAAAAAATACAAAAAACTGAAAAAGTCATAATTTGGTACAAGTAAAATGGAAAGCAAATACAGCTGTGCACAGTCACACCAATGTTGCTGAGTGATCTTTTTTTTGCTAACTTAAACATACCATTAAACAGTTTTTTTAATTTTGTTTTTTGTAGTCTGTTAGAAAAACAGGCTCCTTCAGTTTTACAGGAAAAATATTAAAAACTGTACGATACAGAAATTTATATTTTTGAGTATGCCACAGTTTAAAGGTTAAACAAAGTTTATTTCATTTTTCTTCTTAAATTTATAAACATTATTTACCCTTTTTTCTTATTATTATTATTATTATAATCAAGGGGGAAGCGCTAAACCCGGAGGATTATACAGTGCCTGGGGGGGGGAGATGTGGAAGGCATTCAGGCTTAATTCGGGGAACTGGAGCACAGATCCAATTCCCTAAATCAAGAGCCCCTCACCAACATCAAGGAACCTTCCTTGAGGGGACTTTTTTTTTTTTCTTAGACTGTAAGAGGGGTGGTAAAAATTGGGAAGGGAAAAGCACATAGGGTTGTGATAAACAGCAAAACAGTATGCAGACAGAGAACAGTAAGGTTAAGTGTCCTCACCACATTGGTTGGATTTAAGGGGGTACTTTTTGTCATGGTGATGAGCTTTGTGTTATCAGATACTCTCAACTGAGCACTTCTAGGTAGGTGCCTTGATGCCAGTGAGGGTCCTTGATTGAGGGAATTTAAGCTACCCTTCCTTGCATCAGATCTGTTTGCCTCCCACTCCCCAGGGCATTATATATCCCTTAGAGGTTTAGCACTTTTCCCCTTGAAATAAATGTAAATTCTTATCTTATATTTTACCTTTTTTTATATACTGCATATATTTTTTGTAATTCTGTATGGTTATTCATTATCATGCTACCCATATTTATCTTACAATGGATGACCCTTTCATACTGGAGTGAGAGATGCAGGAAGAAGTGCAAAATAAACCCAGTGAAAAGCTAGGTTGCAGGGGGCACGATAAGGGAACACTATCATTGTCCATGGCCCCAGACTACTCAACATCTTACCAGAAGATATCATTGCTAGGACAAGTGTAGAAGTCTTCACCAGGTGACAGATGAATCAGGGTATATTGGATATGTGGGTCAGTGGACCATCAGCAGCAACAGCCTGGTTGACGAGGCAAGCACAAAACGACCCTGGCCCAACCTAGGCCGGGCTTTGGGAGTAAGAAACTCTCGGAACTCATGAAAGGCATTTCACAAAAAAAATATGTACAGTACTGTACGATATCACTGAATTTGTTGAACCTAGCCTATTTTTATTTATCACTGTCTTGCAGGATTAGCATTTCCTCATGAATATATTAATGCTTCTTCAATCTCTGTCTTCAGATTTACTGAACTGCATTCACCCTCATTTTGGGTACTGTTTCAAGTGTGCCAATCCTCTTTCCATTCCCAATAAAATAGTATTATTATTATAATCAAAAAGAAGCGCTAAGCCACAAGGGCTATACAGCGCTGCAATAAAATAGTAGCACTCATTGTTGCTCCAAATTCTCCACCTCTTCAAGGGGGGCTCCTTGCTGTGGTGAAGAGGCTCTTGGTCTGAGGAATCAGACCTGTCGGTCTCCTTCCTCAGACCGAACCTAATTACCCCCCAATCCCCCCCTCTCTATCCCATCCTCCCCATTTTCCTTTCCTCCTCCCCCTCCCCACCCCTCCCTTTTGCCCTTCCTCTTTTTGGCCTTTGGGATTTCTCCCACAGGCGCGCTAGTTCCTAGGTAGGGGAAAGGATACCGGGGTCCATCCCATTCTGTTGAGGTTCTTGGCGGTGTAGTTTGCCATGGAATCTGGATCGCCTGGGGATGTCCCGATCCCTCTCCGTATCCCGGAGTAGCTTTGGGTGTCTTTCGGGCGACGGGTGTATCTCTGGAAGCCACCTTTCTGATTCCGGGGGTGGTGGCCGAAGGAGGTATGCTTTGTGGCGGATATCCAGCCGCCCTCTCTTTTGTCCACCGAGGTAGCTCTGCAGATGTGAGGTTGCTATCCCGGATTGCTGGTTTACTGGCATGAAGGGTAGGGTATGGCACGGGTTCCATGCTGCATCTGCGCTACTAGCGGTGCTGAGGTCCTCTTGGGCACGGAGGGAGATTTCCGACCCCTTCATTCCTCCTGGGAACTATTCCTTCCCTGCTCCCCCCTTTTTTTATTCTTTTTTTCTTTTTATTTTCTTTTCTTCTTTCTTTTTTTTTCTTAAAAACAAAAAGCAAAGGAGTAACCTAACCATGGAGAACCCAATCCATGAACCCACTACCCCCGGGCCCCTTCTTGATACCGCACCCCATTCTGACCCTGCCTTGTTTTTGGACCACTCTTCGGACACCCCTGATGCCCCTGTACCTCTTGCTGGTGCTGTTTCCTCACCTGCTTCAGGTACCGGGGCCTCGACTGACTCCTTTGATTTGTCTAACCTCCACTCTCCTTTGACTATGCTTCCAGCCTCTCCCTCTATGGTACGGCAATTTTCGAATCGCCAGCCCATTTCACACTGGACCAACTCCGGTCCTACTCCTAAACGCCAACGTCAATC